TCGTATTCTTCCAATCATGGTCATTTTGTAGATAACAGACATTATTAGTAAAGTATTCTACTAAATAATCAATAATTTTATGTCACTAGGCGCTGGATATTACTGAATTTACTGTTCTTTTTGACAGTAGGTGTTAATTTAATCAGTTTAAAATTTTGGCATCGCAATTAAAGTGCTCTACTCTCTGGGAGCATTGGATTATTGGAATTTGAAAATAACTTTGTCTTATTGTCGGTTCCAAAAAAAAAAAAACAATTAGTATAATTTTATACCGCAATTATAGTATTATCTTATATCGAATCCAACATGTGGTAATTTTTATGGAGATTTAAAATAATACCTAAAAGACTTAATAAAATCATTTTTCATCTTTTTAGTTATTTATACTTTAAAAGCACAGGTAAAATTATAAAGTTTATAATTCCATACATAGTGTTTATCTCATTTTTAATGCAATAAATCAAACATACGCAAAAAGGAAATATATATTCTTAGTAATCCAATAATATAGTTTCTAGATTATAATAAATATAATATAATCCTTGTATAACTTTGGTGCGAGTAAAACGACTCATCAATAATGAGTTTAAGAAAGATGGAAGACTTTTGAAACTTATAATTTTAGATGTGTCATAATATTTGTATGACTATAAGCCATTTGAATTTGTAATTTTAAACATGCCACAATAAATTTATAATATTTATTGGCTATAAAAATTTCTCACAAGAATTTAAAGTTAAATTATTTTTAAATATTAAATATATTATTTTTCTTAAAAATAATTTCACATCAACTAGAGCAATTTTTATGAGAACCAAAAGCATAAAAGAAAAGGAAAAAAAAAAGGGAGCTGTTTGGTGCGGCCAAGGGACTGAGGGAGGGTGAGGTTTGACATTTTCAGCCAAGTATCAGGGCCAAAGTGGTCAATAAATCTTCTAGGGCAAATTACATTTCACCTCCCCGAAATGGCAAAATAGATCCATTCACATCTCCAAGAGTTCAATTTCCCCTATTATACACCTCGCTCTGTCCTCATGCAAATCTAAAATTCCAGTAAGTTTCAACACTAAAATCCCTTCTTTTATTATCATATATAAGTACCAATCTCATTTTTTCCCCTCCATTCTTGAAAAAAAAAATACAATTTTTCACATTGCCCCATGAATTTTCTTGACTTGTAATTTTTGACCAAGATTGTTTTTTTCCCCACTAGTCTCTCTTATGTTTCATATTAAATTGTATTATGTTGATTAGGTATTCTTGATTAAGTCTTATTTGATTAGGTTTGATGTTTTATTGGCTTTGAACTTTCCATGTTTGATTATGCTTATGGTTTCTTGATTAGTGCTGCTTAATAGTCCAAAGACTTCAACTTTATTGTTAAGAATTTTGGAATGTAGCTTGATTTTCATTTGGGGTTTTTGTTTTTAGCTTTATTATGCTATTGGTGACTTGATTATTGCTTCTTAATATTCCAAAGAATTTAGAAACACTAGGCAAATATAACCGACTGTGCTGATGAGAGGTAGTAGGTATCCGATGAATAGTCGAGGTGCGCACATGCTGGCCACACCACCTTTATCCAAAATATTCCAAAGACATTCAACTTTATTGGTTTAATTGAGAATGTAGCTTGATTTCATCTGGGTTTTTTTGTTTTTAGCTTATTTATGCTTTTAGTGACTTAATTACTGCTTCTTCATAGTCCGAAGACTTCAACTTTAATGTTAAATTGTGAAATGTAGCCAAATGTTCATCTGGGGTTTTTGTTTTTAGCTTATTTATGCTTTTAGTGACTTGATTATTGCCTCTTAATATACCAAAGACTTCAACTGTAAATGTTAAATTGAGAATGTAGCCAAATTTTCATGTGGAGTTTTTGTTTTTATCTTAATTATGCTTTTCGTGACTTGATTATTGCCTCTTTATATACCAAAGATTTCAACTTTATTTGTTAAAATGACATGTAGCTTGATTTTCATATATGGGATTCTTGTTTTTAGTTTAATTATGCTTTTGGTAACTTGATTATTGCCTCTTAATATCCCAATGCCTTCAACTTTAATGGTTAAATTGAGAATGTAGTCAACTTTTCATCTGGGGTTTTTGTTTTTAGCTTAATTATGCTTTTGGTGACTTGACTATTGTCTTAACATACCAAAGATTTCCACTTTATTTGTTAAAATGGAATGTAGCTTGATTTTCATATGGGATTTTGTTTTTAGCTTAGTTATGCTTTTGGTGACTTGATTATTGCTTCTTAATATACCAATGGATTTCAACTTTATTTGTTAAATCGGAATGTAGCTTGATTTTCATCTGGGGTTTTTGTCTCTAGCTTAATTATGCTTTTGGTGACTTGATTATAGCTACTTAATGTTCCAAAGACTTCAACTTTATATGTTAAATTGGGAATGTAGCTTAATTTTCATGATCCCATTAATTTATTTGTCAGGCGCATCCCATTATCTGCCTTGCATAACAAAATTTCTTTGTTTTTTTTGTTTTTTGACTTTAAACTTTCCCTATATTTTCATCTTGCCTTGAGCTGAGGGTCTGCCGGAAACCGCCTCTCTACCTTCAAGGTAGGGGTAAGGTCTACGTACGCACTAACCTCCGCAGACTCCACTTGTGGGATTACTGGGTTTGTTGTTGTTGTTGTGACTTTGAAACTCTTCATGTTTGATTATGCCTATGGTTACTTGCCTATTGCTTCTCAATGTTCTAAAGACTTCAACTTTATTAATTCATTTGGATATATAGATTGATTTTCATGATCTTATAACTTTTTCTGCGTTGCGTTCTATTTTATGTGGTGTATGATAAAGGTTTGTTCTTTTTAGTTGGTGCAATTTTTTCGGTTGAAGTTTTTATGCTGGCCTAGCGATGGCCTCCAAGAAAATAATTGCCATTTGTCAATCTGGAGGGGAGTTTGTGATCAACAACGAAGATGGATCTTTGACATATGTTGGTGGGGAGGCATATGCTCTAGACCTTGATAGCCAGACACTTCTGAAAGATTTTAAGCAAGAAGTAGCGGAAAACTTTGAGTGTGGTATTGATGGAATGACGATTAAGTATTTTCTCCCTGGGAATAAGAAGACTCTCATTACAATATCTAAAGATAAGGACCTCAAGCGTATGATCAACTTCTTCAAGGATTCTGAACAAGTAGAGGTGTTTATAATTGTAGAAGAACCCGTTGCTCGAAGTACTCCAAATGTGACTGCCAGTAGGTATTTACTTTTTTTTATATTCAGTTCTGTTTGTTTATTTTGCTTCCTCATGCATATGTCAAAACTTGAGTGTTTTTTTGAATCTGTTTTTGATTTCTTAAATATCTTTATGACTTGCTTAACTCTGAAGGTCGAGCAGGACTACTGTGTCGGAGCCTCCACTTACCCCTGCTAACCCCGTGGATATAGTCGATCCTGATGATCTGCTTCAAGCCCCAGTTGATACTAGTCCCCTAGCTGTTTATCCAAGTAGCAATAGCAATGATGAGAAGCATCGCAAAGCAGCTATGCAGTGGGAGAATGCAATTACTGGCGTTGGCCAAAGATTTAACAGCTTTTCTGAATTCCGTGAAGCTCTACATAAGTACTCGATTGCCCAAGGATTCACTTATAAATATAAGAAAAATGAAAGTCGTCGAGTAACTGCTAAATGCAAGTCGGAAGGTTGTCCTTGGTCAATATATGCATCGAAGTTGCCTACCACCGAGCTAATATGTATTAAGACAATGAACCCGAAGCATACATGTGAAGGAGCTGCAGTAAAAGCTGGGTACCGGTCCACAAGGGGATGGATGGGAAATATAATAAAGGAAAAGTTGAAGTATGCTCCCAATTACAAGCCAAAGGATATTGCAAATGATATTGAGCGTGAATATGGCATTCAGCTGAACTACTCTCAGGCAAGACGTGCAAAAGAGAAGGCAAGAGAGCAGCTTCAGGGTTCTTACAGAGAGGCATACAGTCAGTTACCTTTATTATGTGAGAAAATTGTAGAAACTAATCCAGGTAGTGTTGCTACAGTTGTGGCAAAGGATGACTCGAGCTTCCATCGTCTATTTATCTCATTTCGTGCCTCATTATCTGGTTTTCGACAAGGTTGCCGCCCTCTTCTATTCCTTGACAGCGCTCTTCTCTATGCAAAATATCAAGGAACATTGTTGGCAGCGGTAGGTGTTGACGGGAATGATGGTGTCTTTCCTTTAGCCTTTGCGGTTGTAGATGAGGAGACCAAGGACAACTGGCATTGGTTTCTTTCAGAACTTAAATCTGCTGTCTCAATGTCCTGTCCTATAACATTTGTTTGTGATTTCCAAAGGGGCATAAGGGAGTCATTTAACGATATATTTAATGAAGAGGGTTACCATGGTTATTGCCTGCGCTATCTTGCGGAAAAATTAAATAATGATTTGCAAGGACAGTTTTCTCATGAAGCTAGACGTCTTATGATCCAAGATTTATATACTGCTGCTTGTGCCCCAACACTTCGGAGTTTTGAACGCTGTGCTGAGAATATAAGAGCAATCTCACCTGTTGCATATGATTGGGTCACTCGAAGTGAGCCCGACCATTGGGCCAACGCCCTTTTTGGTGGGACAAGGTATGGACTCTTGACATCCAACTTTGGGCAGCTTTTTTATGATTGGGTTATGGAGGTGAATGAGCTGCCGATAGTTCAAATGGTCGATGTATTACGAGGGAAGATAATGGAATTGATCTATACTAGGCGTGTCGAGTCCAGTCAGTGGGCTACAGGATTGACACCGTTGATGGAAGAGAAACTTCAGAGCGAAACGTCAAAAGCAAGGTCACTTCAAGTATTACCCTCGCACGGGAGCACATTTGAAGTTCGTGGTGAGTCTGTTGACGTAGTTGATATTGATCAATGGGATTGTAGTTGCAAAGGTTGGCAACTAAATGGGATGCCTTGCTGCCATGCTATTGCTGTTTTTGAATGCATAGGAAGGAGTCCATATGATTATTGTTCCAGATACTTCACAACCGAGAGTTACCATGTAACATACGCTGAATCGATTAACCCCATACCTAACCTGGAAAAACCAGCAAGTGGTGAAATTGATGCGGCAATTATTATTACTCCCCCACCAACCAAACGTCCACCTGGCAGACCAAAGATGAAAAAGGTCGACGCTTTTGACATGGTTAAACGGCAAATGCAGTGTAGCAAGTGTAAGGGCCTGGGTCACAATAAGAAGACATGTGGGTAAGTGTACTCAACTCTTCTTTGATGAATGTATACTAATAATATCAAAGAAATGGATGCATTGCACGTATATCGTTTAATACATACTCTTACCCACTGCATGATGCTTAATTAGTCAACGATGGCGTATCCTGTGGACCATCTGCTATCATCTATGCTTGTTTCTTCATTTTTTATGGGAAAGGGGTATGAGGATGTATTAGCATATAATGCATCGAGAATGACAGTGTCGTCTCATTCTGGGATAGTTGGACAGTGTTTCTCCATTTCACTGTCATAGACCTATTAGAAGGACTCATTCAGCTTGGCGAGAATGGATTTTCTTGTGCTTATCAAAAGTTGCAGTATAATGAGTCCTCGGCCTGTAGTTCTTTGTACGGTGAAATTCAGAAATAATACTTCACAGCAACTATAAATCTTGCTTGTTTCCAGTTAGTCGTAAAGTTGTATGTATTGTTGCTGCCCTTTAAATCTTTGAAGAAATGCATTCTTCTTTGCATGTTTGATTTTGATATCATTGTCTGCAAATATTGCTGTCTATAACTGAAAAGTACTTCGTCTTCTTGAAACAGGAAGCTAAATCAGATCGAAGAACCAGATCCTCTACTTGTTACGGGCTTGGTAACTGAACACCTTGAAGGCACAGAGTGAAGTTCTGGTATCTTGTTCACCATAGGTCGCGGATTCGAACCGTGGAAGCACCAGCCACTAGTGCTTGCATTAGGGTAGGCTGTATGAATACCTGCATGAACGCAAGATGCCTTGTACATTGGATGGCCCTTTTTTTTTGTTCACTAGAGTTAAAAGTTAAATTACTTAGATACTTGTTTGACAGATTTCTTGTGGTTAAGTTGATGGAAAACCTTAGTTAGATCTTTGATTAAAGAAATAATCTGTCATCTCTTTTAGTTGGTTTCATTAGTCAGAACTAGTCTATTAAAGTCGCGCATACTGGTTTTATTGTTGTCATTCTCCCTTGAATTGGAAATATCGTTATTCGAAAACAGTCTCTCTACTTTCACACGGTAAGGTCTGCGTACGCAATAACTTTCCCAAACCCCACTCATACGCAGACCTTCCCCAGACCCCACTTGTGGGATCTCACTGTTGTCGTTGTTGTAAGGAAAGATCGTTAATCAAAATATGCATATTGGTCACTGTTGTCGTTGTTGTAAGGAAAGATCGTTAATCAAAATATGCATATTGGCTGCATATGATCTGAGCAAAGATCTATGTTTTTGTTTATTTGCCATGTCTTGTTCGTGATTGACTGAGTCACGTTGTATAGATATGAACTGACTGGGAATCTCGTCCATATTACGCGCAATATGAGACCTTATACAAACCTTTTCTACAGAGAAAAGTATACTAAATAGTAAAGCCGAAGCTTGAAACAACTGTACACTATATATAACACAGCATATAATACCGCGGACGCACATGAAATGAAACACTACCATATACCAGAAAACCAAGTACAGACAATAGACAAAAAGACGTCAAAAACAGTGAAACAGACACCCACAACAACAACCCTATCCCACCTAATTATATCCAAACATGCTTACTTCTGGTAGTTGTTTCTCAGTCAACTTCCTCCATCTTGCTCTCCTCTTTACCCACTTCTTCCAATACAGGCATCTCAGTGTCATCTCCACTGGCTTCATCTTCCTCAATACTAAGACCTAACTTCAACATCCTATGAATCCTCGCAGCAAACGCGTTCGGATCATCAAGACTGAAACCAGATGTCAACAAAGCAGTCTCAAAGAGCAGCAGCACTAAATCCTTAACAGACTTGTCATTCTTGTCAACCTCAGCTCTCTTTCTTAACTCCTCCATTATTCCGTTGTCCGGGTTGATCTCCATCGTCTTTTTACTCGACATGTAAGCGCTCATGCTGCTGTCCCTTAACGCCTGCGCTTTCATTATCCTCTCCATGTTTGCTGTCCAACCATATTCTCCAGTTACTAAGCAGCACGGAGAGTCAACGATCCTGTCGGAAACTACCACTTTTTCTACTTTGTCTCCAAGAATATCTTTGATGACTTTACATAAGTTCTCAAATGATTTCTTCTTTTCTTCCTTTTTCTGCTTCTCTTCTTCTGTTTCTTCAAGTTTCAGTCCTTCTTTAGTGGCAGATACCAGCTTCTTTCCGTCGTATTCTTTCAGTTGCCCAATAGCATACTCGTCGATTGCATCAACCATGAAAAGAACTTCGTATCCTCTCTTCTTGAGCTTCTCAAGGAACGGAGAGTTTTCAACAGCTTTCTTGCTCTCACCAGTAATGTAGTAGATGTCCTTTCGTCCTTCTTTCATCCTCGTAACGTAGTCCTTCAAACTAGTCATCTCATCACCGCTCTTTGTCGAGTGGAACCTGAGAAGATCAGAGAGTTTGGTTCTGTTTTGGCTGTCTTCGTGAATACCCAACTTGATGTTCTTGGAGAACGCTTCGTAAAATTTGTTGTAATCCTCTTTGTTTTCAGCAATTTCGAAGAACATTTCGATGCATTTCTTCACAAGATTTTTCCTAATAACCTTCAAAATCTTGTTCTGTTGAAGCGTCTCGCGCGAAATGTTGAGCGGAAGATCATCAGAATCCACCACGCCCTTAACAAATCCGAGATACTCTGGAATGAGTTCTTCGCAATTGTCCATTATGAAAACTCTACGCACATAGAGCTTAATGTTGTTAAGCTTCTTACTCGTGTCAAAGAGATCAAACGGAGCTCGCTTTGGAACGAACAGAATCGCCCTGAACTCGAGCTGCCCCTCAACAGAAAAGTGTTTCCAGTGAAGAGGATCCTCCCAATCGTTCGTTAGACTCTTGTAGAAAGAACAATACTCCTCCTTAGTCACTTCTTCAGGCTTACGCAACCAGATTGGTTTCTGCTTATTGATTAGCTGCCATTCACGAGTCACTTCCTTAATCTTCTTTTTCTTCTTTTTGTCCTTCTCTTTATCCTCGTCGACTTCTTCTACATCGCCTTCGTGTTCCTTCCTGCCTTCCTCGTCTTCATCATCGCTAACTTCCTTCTCGGCGGTTTTCTCAGTCCAGAGGTAAATCGGATAGCTAATGAACTCGGAATGTTTCTTCACAAGGTCCTTTATTCTCCTCTCTTCCAAGTATTCAACCTGCATAAAGTACAAAAAAACATATTTACTTGAGATTAAGAACTTCAATATACTAAAAGCCTAAAGGTAATAACTTTCATGGATTGTTCCGTCTCGTCACAACAAGCAACAACGACAACAACAATAATGCCTCAGTCCCAAACAAGGAGGTCGGCTATATGAATCCTCATTGACCATGTTACTCAACAAACTAATCTCAGACCATGTTCTAAATCTATGAAAGGCTAAACAGCTCCTACAAAAGTGCTAACATGACCAAAACTACAATATATTTTCAACTATTAAGTATCGTCCAAGAAAATGAAACAATGAACGATATTGGTACCTGGTCTTCCTTTAAGTAGAGGGTGATCTTGGTACCTCTCCCCAGCGGCTCGCCATTGACATCACGGGTGACAGTGAACGATCCACCAGCTTGCGACTCCCATACATACTGTTCGTCGTCGTTGTGCTTGGTCGTCACCACAACTTTCTCAGCCACAAGATAGGAAGAGTAGAAACCAACACCAAACTGTCCGATCATACTAACATCAGCTCCAGCTTGCAACGCCTCCATAAACTCCTTTGTTCCAGATCTTGCTATTGTTCCCAAATTGTTCACCAAATCTGTGTTCAAAACATAACCACTTTTTCAAATATCATAATACTACTAATACACCAACAGAACATCTATGCAAAACAACTATAATATCGAATTTCATTTGCTATTACACTCAATTGGAGGGAATGCATTTATCTTTCTACTTTTCGGTGCAAAATACAATGTCAAAAACAAAAGAAGATGGAGATCGTATCTACTCACTCGAACATAGTAATTAATCTGCTATAACAAGTTAAACTATATTGATAGTGTAAAAGAATCTTTACACTGTTAATGTATATACTTAAATCCATAAATTTGTCTGCACCACTAATGTTGAGAATTCATGCACTTCCATCATGGGCAGATCCACATAGAAAATTGTGGTGCTCAAGCACCCATTGCCCATGGTATCGAACATATATAATTTTATAGACAATTTCGCATGAAATGGATATATATTTAGGTGAGCACCCATTACTCAAACAAACTGATGAGTGCTACCGGTTAATGAAATCTAAATATGTGCTCTGCGTGATCCGGAGTTCGATTCTTACATAGTGCACTCTTTGACTTTCTTTTTCGTCTCCCTTTTACATAGCTTTCCCTTTTGTTCTTAACTTTGCCATTTTTTCTTTCTTCAATTCATTTAGTTCATCGTGGAAAAAAAAGAAAATATATTCAATTTACCACCATCAGTTTTGACAGTCTATATTGTGGTTTGGAATCCTCACAATAATGATAATATTCAAGAAAATGTGAATATTCATATTTTTCGTCATTAAATCTATGTTTTATCCGAGAGGTTCGAAAATTTTATCCGTGTTGTCCAAAACGTATTCAATCCGTCCATATCAATCCGACTCCTCCCATCATTTGCTAGCACTAATTAATAGTGAGCATTGAGCACCCATTACCTTAAAATGCTGGATCCGCCACTGACTTCCATGATCATCAATTCAACATAGTAAGTAGTCTTACATGTAAAACTATGTAAAAAAATCTTTATTCGTTTAAATATATAAATTTTCCTCGCCACAAATATTTAATATTCATCCACTTCATCAACATACATACCTGCTTTAGTCATACCGATACCACTGTCAATTATGGAAAACGTCTTATTCACCTTATCAGGAACAATCTTAATAAAAAGCTCAGGCACTGCATCAAGTTTGCTTTTATCTGTCAAGCTCTCAAACCGAATCTTATCCAACGCCTACACAAATGCCACCAAAAGAATTCAACAAATTCAGCTCGAAAATAAATAAATTCAATCCACAATCAAAACAACATAAATCTTAAATAGTATGTTTTTATCTAACAACTTAAAAATGATACGATCACACACTTCAATAGTACACATAAATCTAAACTGCAGCATAGTTAAATAGTAGGTTTTTATCTAACAACTTAAAAATGATACACATACTTCAATATGTTATCATAGCAGAGCGTCAACCCATCAACTATTATCAATTAACTTCAATCAACAATCAAAACAACACATAAATTTAAACTTCAACATAATTAAATAGTACTATGTCTTTATCTAACAACTTAAATACTTAAGTGATACGATGACACGCTTCAAAATGTTATACAAAGATCCTGACTTCTGTTTCACCGTCAGCAATTATCAATAAGAACTTTTACGTACTTGGCTCATGAAAACATATCAGGTTCACACATGAGGAGTCAGAAGACATAATTAAGTAAATAAACTCTACCGGTTTAAGCTTTTCAACAAAACTTACATCAGAACAATTGCTGATTAGTTCACGTAGGAAAATCTCCTTATTACTGTAAAAAGTATTGATAATTAAACTCAGAAGCTGATTTATCTCCGCTTGAAAAGCGAAAGTCTCACTCTCTCCCATATGCACGTCCGCCATTAATTTGCTGCTTCTTTCACGAAACAAGTAATGGATTTGAACAAGAGAACAGTGAGAATTCGATTTCTTTCTTTCTTTTGGAAGATGAGAAAATGGAAGTGATTTGCTATTTATATGGAGGTGATTAGAGGAGTCGGTTAGTTTTGAAGAAGAATGTAGAGAGATTTGGAATATGTGAATGTTAATCTGGTTTCGCGCTTCTGGAATTGTCTATACGTTATAAGTAAGTCGTATTCAAAGAATACGACTTATAAGTCTCATTAAGCGCAATTTATAAGTCGTATTGTATATGCGATTTAAGTCTATATTTTAATGCTCCTGTTTTTTTTCCCATTATGGGGTTACCGTTTTGGATTTCC